TGCTGACTGTTAATATTTGTATGTGAAATTTGGATCTGTCTTTCAAGTCTATTTTTTTCTTGAAATTTCAATTTATTTATGTCATCTATGATGTGAGCTACTTGTATTTGATCTTTATGATCCTTAATTCAGATTTCAGTATTGACCATCTTCTCAATATCATCTGATAACTTTTTATCTCTACATAAGCTCTTTTTTTAAAAAAACTTTGTCTTCCTATCCTCAATCAGTTTCATTTCACTAATGCCAACTTTTCTGGAGGTTATATTTGTTTTTTTCTTTGCTGACTGATGGATCTTCTTTGCTGGGCTGTTTTACTTTGTCTCCTTACTGTGGTTGAGGTCCAGTTATTGAATTAACTTCAGCAGAGGCAGTGCTGATACTGGCAGTAGGAAGTGCTAGTTCTGCCTCTGTGAGTTGGCTTTGTACCAACCTTCAAGAATCTAATTTCCTACTGAAGCACCAGAAGAAAGAACAAAGGCCAGCCCTCATATTTTCTGTCTCTCTCTCTCTTTTTTCCTCTTTCTCTTAAAAGTGTACTTTAATTATACAAAGGGGTTTCACTGTGGTATTTTCAAACAGCATAGAATGTACTTTAATCAAATTCATTCCCTCTATTTACAGCAATAATATTTTCCCTCCTCTTTTTTGAACAATTTTAATGGGTTTCATTATTCTATTTTCATACCTGTGCATAAAGTACTTCAATCATACTGACTGCCCTTTCACCCTCCCCCCAACCATGTCTCCCACTTCCAACCAGCGCCCCCATTTTACACTGAAGGCTAGCAGTCTTTGGCTCAGGAGTTGAGAGGACTCAGGCCAGGTCCTCAGAACCCAAGGAAGCAGCCAATCAGAACTACCCTTTTCTGAAGCTCACAGATAGCCTTTCAAGCTGTCTCTAGGAAGCTTTCTTTGATTTTTGACCAAGACCTCATTTATTCCATTTCTCAGGGTCTTGTCTAGCTCAGAGAGTGGAAAAGTTGGCACCAGCTCTGTCTGTTGTCACCCATCACCTAGGACCTGCCTGCCTCCTACACAGGTAGCCACTCAGTCAAGATAGTGGAGAGTAGGATTGGATTGTGAAAGGGAGGACAGTAAGGGTACACTCAAGCTACCATCTCTTCAGAATCTTCCTTTTATCTCCCTTCTGCATCTCCATTTCATTATCAATATGATCAGTATTGATCATTGGTGTTATATGATTATCATCAGATATGAATTTCATCACATAAATAATTTTACCTTAGGTTTCCTCACTTACAGAATTAGCCCGTGTACTTGGCCTCTGAAATTTCTTCCAGCTTACTAACTTACTAACCTCATGAAATCTACTTTTCTGTATTTTTAAGCCCACAATTTGTTATATTATCAGAACTTTTGATTTCTACATGAGACTAAGCACAGATTGTGTAAAATCAAATGTATTTTCTGACTTACTAATCTTGAAGATGTGTCACCACTCAATGACAATACTGTTGCCTCTTTGTAGGCTTATTTGAAGCTGAACAGCTTGCTTTCTGGTATATTATATTAAATACAGGCTTTAAAAACAAAACCAAAAGCAGCCTTTCTGTCAAAACAATGTCAGTTTCACAACTTCTTTTTCACAGAGTCGATGTTTACTGGAAAAAGGAACACTTCAATATTATGAAGCACAAAATCATCTGCAACTTGCTTTCTTGACAGTTTTCCTTTACAGTATGGATTGTATCATAAGAATAAAGACACTTAAATTTATTTTCTTTGTGCAAGGCTCATAGAAAATGGCATTTTAGGTAATTTTGACAAAGCAAAAATAAGCATTATGATTATTTAAGATTATTTTCCCATTAATTATCTTACCTTGATCTTTCTTATTAGGTGAAAAAGTAGATTACTGATTGTAAATTGGAATGAATAAAAGGCATTTAAATTTCTTACATTCTTTCAACCAGCAAACATTTGTTGAGCACCAGTGGGTGCAGGAATGATGCTGGGCTATAATTGGGATCCAGTTTCCATCTCTGTCTTCAAAGAGCTGATCATGTAGTTAGTGAGGAGAGAGAAAATATTCAATAATTTCTGTAACAGTTCTAAAGACCATCAAGAAGACAATTTAAGTACTATTATTGTATATTGATTCTGTATTCTATAGTACTAATATGTATTATACATCCCTATATGTGTGTCCCAAGAAAATAAAGATATCTGATATTTTGTCTTCTAACAATAAGCAGCTGTGGTATAATCTGGGAAAAGTGGAGCACGTATAAATGATCGGTACATTGGAGCATGGAGCCATATTGGACCAGGCAGTAGCATGTCTTTTATTGCCCTTCTTGCTGGTATCTAAATACTGTGGGTAACGGTTGAGGTTAAGATTGTAGATTCTGGAGAAAGAGTTCTTATTCCATTTCCTTGCACAGTCTTAACCCCCTCTGTTCCTGTTTCCTCTCTCATAAAATGGTTAAGTATGACTAGGCACATTGGCTGTGTCTGTGTTTAGAAGGGCACATACCTCATTGCAAAGCTTTGTACGTGTTAGGTACGCTTACTGCTCTGTGCTTGGCCTTCTCACTCTCCTGAGAGCTTCTTTCTTTCCATTGATGGTGCTGGGCTTTGAAGTCAGGGCCTTGTGTTTTCTAAGCATGCTCTCTACCACTCAGGCCACTCCCCAGCCCTTTTTGTTTTAGTTGGTTTTTGAATAGGTTTTTGAATAGTTGGTTTTTATCCTCCTCTTTATGCTTCCTGAGTAGCTGGGATGAAAGGCGTGCACCACTGCACACAGCTTTTTATTGGTTAAGATGGGGAGTCTCATTGACTTTTTGACTGGACTGGTCTCTAACCATAATCCTCCTGATCTCTGCCTCCCAAATAGCTAGTATTACATGCATGAGCCACTGTGCTGCTCAGCCTCCTGGGAACTTCTAGAGAGCAAGAAGTCTGTTATTTCATCTTCATATTCTCAGCAGTGCACTGCCTGGTTCAGAGTAAGGGCTGAGTCACTTGTCTGATGAGCCATTTCTCCTCCATTTGGCCATCAAAATGGCTCATCCTTGAACGAAAGATTTACAAAAAGTTCTTTGTCAAAAGCCAAACAAACGAACAAACAAATCCAAACCTCTGTAGGGTATGGATCTTGGAATTGAAAACTTTCTGAACCCAAAGACACAGCAAGTATTTTCTAGACTGCCTGGGACCCCACACTTTGGCATCTGTACTCTGCAGGCCTACCCACCATTCTGTTTATATTACTTTTCTGTGTGTAGTCAACTATTCCATTAATGTAGCTGATACCAGTTTTCTTCTACTTTTTATCCCAACTGTTTTCTTCTTTAAAATGACCAAAGACATGCTATCACACACTCTGACTTTCCCAAATCTGGGCCAGGGATCCTGTAGCCTGCTCCTACAATGTCCTGGATTTCTTTCCCACACAACCAGCCACACCCGGCGGAAACTATTTTGCCCTTATCTCTAATTTTGTTGAAGAGAGAGTATAAGCAATAATAGGAAGGACCAAGGGTTTTTGCTAGTTGAGATAAGGATAGCTATACAGGGAGTTGACTCTCATTGATTTCCTGTGCATGCCACACACTCTTTTGACTACTGTCTGGCTCTGCTTATTCTCTGCATAGTCTGCATAATCACTAGGCTTCATGACATCTCTAAGACACTGTGTTGCATTTAGGGAGTGGGCTCTGGGACCAGACTGCTGTAGATTCAAATTGTGACCCTGCCATTTACTAGCCACATGACATGGAGAAGGTTACTTAAAGCTCTCTGAGCCACTGCTTTGTCCTTTGTCAAATGGGCATAATAATGGTGCCTACTCTGAGTTGTGAGGATCACAGTAAAGCATGTTAAGTACACCAGGTGACGCCCGTCATGTAAGAAGCATTTAGTAAATATTAGGTCTTTCATTATCTTTTCTCACTTTTATCTAGTATCTAAGCAAGCACTCAGAAAATACTTGTTGAGTAAATGTCTATCTCTTTGAGGCCACATAGAAAGATGTTTCTCCCATTCCATAATCCTTCATTATGTTAAGTGATGGTGGGACCATATAGGGAGTACAGCATGCGTCCTTATCCATAGTGGGTTTGCTATCTAGTCACAATGATGAAAAATGCACAAAACAGCTACTATAGTACTTAATAGGAAGAAAATTACTGCCTATTAATATATGCAGGTTTTATTGCAAGCAACATAAAACTTCCAGATGTTTCTCTACACAAACCTCATCTTATGGAGGCTGTTTTGTTGCATATCATGAAATTTTATAACTGAACTAGTCTTTAGAGATTATCTTTCTTTTTATTTTTTTCCCCACTTTTTATTAGCATATATTGTACAAAGTAATGGGTTTCATTATGACATTTTCATACAGGGTATATAATGTACTTTGACCGTATTCACCCCCATTACCCTCTCTTGTGCCTCCTCCCTACCCTTCATTTTATGTATTTTTATTTTTTTAATTAAAAAGTTTTGAGGGACAATACCTATGTCTGAACTCAAGGCCCCACATTTGCTAGTCAGGCATTCTACCACTTAAGCCACATCCCCAGCCTGTTTTTTGCTGTAGTTAGTTTTTGATAGGATCTCATGCCTTTTGCCTACTACCTAGGCTTCCTACCTAGTTGAGATCACAGCTGTGTGCCACCACCACTGGCTTGTTTGTTGAAATGGGGCTTTTACTAACTTCTTGTCTGGCTTGACCTTGAACCACAGTCTCTGTCCCCACATAGCATGTGTGCCACCATGCCTGGCCCCTATCCTTCATTTTAAAAACGAGAAAACATATTGGAGATTTATCAAAGGTAGTTATTGTTATAGTTCACTGGAATATTGGGTATTGTGTTTCTTTAAAACATTTCTTGGATGCTAAAAACAGTAAAGGCCACCAGAGTTCCTAATAGATAACATGACTGTGAGAGAGGCCTGGAGACTTGGAGGCCAGCTATGAACACTGCATATTTTATTGTTTCACCCCCACCCTATTGTCTTTCTTTTAGGACATTCACTGGCAAAGTTGGTGTATTACAGCAGTAAAAAGAAGGACTTTTCAAAGTGGTTACCCGCTCTTCAGCTGTTTGAGATGGCGTTGAAGCTCTGTAAGATAACAGCTGTAGAGGAATGTGAGGTGGAAGCAGAAATCCTTTTTCAGAAAGGTGAGATGTTTGGGGTCACAGCTATGACATTTTCCTCCTGTTAACAATTGGAGGAACTGACTATAAAAAATACAAATTTTACAAAGGGTTTAGTAATAACAAAACACATTGATAGTGCTGCCAAACCCAGTTTTACCTAAAAGAACTCTGCTTATTTTGAGTGTATATCTAGAAAGATAAAAAACCCTACCACTTAGTTTCTTTTATAATTATGACTGACCTTCTTTATATGAAGTTTCATGTTTGACTGAAAAATGTAGCATCAATACTGGGCTATACAGAATGTTACGTAAATAGTGTTTGGAATATATTTTTCCTGAATCATTTTACACTGCTAAATGTTTTGATCAATTTTTGTAAGTAAGAGATACATATCCATTAGAATTAAGTAACTATAGCATAACTATATTTACAAACTACAGACAATGCCTATTTATCAAATGCATTTGTATAATTGTATTGTGGCAATTTTGGCCATGAGAAAACTGAAGAGTGAAGATCTCTGTCATTTACTGGGAATCTTCTAGGTGCTGGCTCTGTAGTCTATGTTCTGCATTTCGCATGGCTGATTCTTCCAAGAGTTCTCCAGTTGACTAAAGAGGAGAACCAGGTGCTGTCTGGTTGAGCTGCTTTCTAAAAGTCAGCAGCTATTGAACGATCAAGTCAAGATGTGAATTCCGTGGTGGCCAGCTGCATGCCCTCCCCACATCAGCATGAAAACAGCGGGCTCTGCTTGTAGTGATTGCAAGCTTTCTCTTGGCTGCCCTTTTGCTCAGAGATGCTCACTCAGGGCCTGCACTAGAGGACTGGCCTCCCATTGGGCTGGGATCTGTGTGAGGATTATAATATTTGATCATCATTAAGAACTTTCAAGCATTTGCTGATTTTGGGGGGGATTTTTTCCCATTAAGTTTATGATTATTTTTTAAACTTGAAAATTCTTTTTGGGCTGACAGAATGGCTCAAGTGGTAGAGTGCCTCCTAGCAAGTGTAAAGCCTTGAGTTCAAACCCCACTACTGCCAAAAATCATTTTTATTGACTATATATATATATATATATATATATATATATACTATTATGCTATATTTCATAGAAACATGTAACTCCCATTCTAAAACCAACTTAGTTAGAAGGTTGAATGTCCTGCACAATGTTCCACTGTTCCACTCTAGGAATTGAGCATATATATATAAAAATATAGTGCAGTGTTTCCATATATGTATACATTGTAGAATGACTAAATTAAGAAAGTTAACCTATCTTTAACCTCAAAAAATTATCTTTTTGTGGTGAGAGCATTTAAAATCTTCTTAAAACAATTTTAAGTATAGAATACATTATTATCAAGCATAAGCATGCTATGCAATAGATCTCCAGAACTGCCCATCTTGACTAACTCCCTATGCCCCAACTTCCCATACCCTGGCAACCGCCATCCTACTTTCTATTCCTGTGAGCTCAGCTTTGCAGACTCCACCTGTAAGTGAGATCATGCGGTGTTTGTTTCCGTGTCCTAGGTTTATCCGTGTTGTTGCAAATGACCATATTCCCTTCTTTTAAAATGCTGTGTGCTAGTCCATTGTGTGCACATATACCACATTTTCTTTATCCTTTCATCCATTGAGGAGCACTCAGGTTTATTTCACATCTTCGCTGGTATAGATAATGCTACAACAAATGTAAAAATGCAGTAGTATCTGTGAAATAGGGGAAAGAGGAACATGGATGTAGAAAAAGGGAATGAGAGATGCCAGAGGAGGAGGAAACATAAAGTAAGGAAGTAAGGAACAGAAAAGTTAGGTGGTAAAGCCAATTGTGCCAGGGAAGGCAAGGACGTCTTGACTCGGTGTTGCTGCTATCTGAAGGCAGGGACGTTTGATACTTGCAGAGAAAGAAGCAACATGTCTTTTCTCATTGACTCATTTCTAGCAAGCAACAGCAGACAGACCAACAAAAGCATATCCAGTTTTCTGAACTTCCAATATGAAATATTTGTTCTTAAGTTCTAAGTGATAGAAAAAGGAGAAAAACCATCTCTGTATATATTTTTCTTCTTTCAGGCAAAATAGAGCGTCAAATACTGATGGATGACAAATCTCCAAGTACACGACTGGAGAGTTTTTTTGAAGCTATACAGCTAAGCTTGAAAAATGATCAAAACTCAGGGTAAAACTGTCTTTTCATTTTTTTAACAATGTTTGTATTTGGTTTGAATGCTGTGCTGTGTTAGAACTTTGAATATTGAAGGTAGGAATGAATGAGTGCCCTTTTCATGGTGAAGCTTCATGGGCTCTATCTGTCCGGCAGGTTAACTGCTTTGCTTTTCAAGCTTGTTGCTGTTGGCTTTGACCCAAGGCCTTCTTTACAGTATGGTGGGTGATGCCCATGACCACTGTGAATACTGGGCTGTGAATCATTTCTGGCCTGTACCGAGGTACCCTGTCAAGCCATTGCCAGCACAAGACAAGGTAGAAGCTCAGATGTCTTCAAGACCTCCCAGCTGTAGGGAGGAAGATTCTAGTAACTTGGCCAGAAGTGCTATGAGAAGCAGATGTGGGTGGGGAGAGATGCTGGTTATGCCTTTTACCTTTTATTAGCTCTAATGTTGACAAATGAGGCAGAGAGATTATTAATATTTAATAAGTACAATGCTGTATCATTCTAGATTGATAAGAGATTCCTACCTAGAAATGGCCCTGTTCTATTTTCATCTGAAGAAGCCAAAGACAAAAAATTCAGGAACACCATTAACACTTAAGGTAATAGCTGAATTTATTAGAAATTATAAGTTAATTGCCTAATACTTTAATATTACTGTGCTATATAACTTGGAGAAATTAATTCATTACTTTTAGTCACACTTATATTTATATGCCTCTTTGCATATTTTATGTAGGGCTCTGGTAATTGGTTTCATTTAGATAGTTTTGCCTGTTAAAATGTTATACATGAAATGTAGGTTTGAGTTGTTAGGGAGAATCTAGAATTTGCAGGGAATGATGTATTGGTTAAGTGACAGACAAGTACAATTTTCAATACAACCATGGTATACAAGCTTCTTTCACTTCTTGAAAGAGTCGTTTATTCCTTCATCAATTATCTACTGAGCTCCTACTCTAGAGGAAGGTCATAAAACAGTGTCCATGATGAGCACAGTCCCTGCTTTCATGGAACTTGCCATCCAGAAGAGGGAAACAGACCAGAAGTCAGCAAAGAAATAAAGGTGGGAGGAGGGAACAAGGGAGAAGAAGGGAAGGGGGAGACTTCCATAGTGAAATTTAGGAGAGGGAAGTAAGTTGGGTTGGTCAAATTGTAAATGAATATGGCGGGTGATCCAGCATTCACAGAGGCATGGAAGGAGGAGGAAGCCATGGAAAGAGTTGCAGAGGGGTGCATATCCACAGCAGTACTTCCATTTGAGGTGCAGAAATATCTCTGGGAATCTTGTGAAAATGCAGATAGTGATTCCGTGTGTTGGGGTGGGGTGGAAGTTCGATGTTTCTAGTAAGCCCCCAGAGAGTGCTAATTCTGGTGGTCTTGGGACCACACTTGGGTACCAAGGGTCTTTATTGAGGAAGATCCTAGCAGCATGGATAGCCAGCTGTTTCTTGATATATATAGTCCCAGTGATTCTATTTTTAAAAAGTTGACAGACTTATATTTCACCCTTACTGGATAATCATTTGACTCCTCAAGAGACCTTTTCAGAAAATCTTGGCATCAAATCTCTAGTTTTTGAGACAGCACAAATATGATTTTAAAACTTTGGGCAAATAGACTGTAAGTAGATAACACCTATTTTTTTTAAATCAAAAATAGAAAAATTTATTTTCTGTGGTCTGATAAACACTTTTATTTGTAGTAAGAGAAAAAATGTTCTGTTGCCATAAAACGTGTTAATACAAGCTAATAGGATGGTGTGATAATAACCTGTCTCTTGGATGTATAGAGAAATGTTACAGTTAAGAGCATGAAGAAGTTAGAATTTGGATGAAAAATTTTAGTTCCATATAATATGGTCATTATTTTCTGTATATCTTGAACACAGTATATTTTAACACAGAAGCAGAGAAAATACCCAAAAACAAATTAAAAATTTCATTCACTCTGTAATTGTGACTGTTAGTAGGTTTTGGGAAAGTGTATGTAGTCTAACTATGTTCTTCCTTTCTAACATTGTTTTGGCTACTTTGAGTCCTTGAATTTTCATATACATTTTAGGACCTGCTCATCAATTTCTAGGAAAAAGTGATGAGCTTTCTATGGGATTGTTGTTGACTCTCCAGAACAATTTGGGGATAGTTCTGTGGTATCAATAGTGAGTCTTCCAATTCCTGAATGTGAATTATCTTTTCATTTATTTGGATCTTAGTTAACTTCTCTCAGCAACGCTGTATACTTTCCAGTGTACAAGTCTTGCACGTTTGCGGTTTACTTCCATTGTGAATGGATTTGGTCTTATTTTGTATTCAGATTGTTCAGATTGTTATAGAGAAGTATAGCTGTCATGTGTGTACTATGGAGTGTTATACCTATGCTCTCACTTGCCATGTATATTGGCTCAGTAGTATGCTTTGTGTGTATATGTATCTCTTAGGATTTTCTACAAATAGGATTATATCTTCGGCAAGCAAACACACTTTTACTTCTTCATTTTCAATCTATTTGCATTTTTCTCTGTTTCCTGTTTGCATGGACTGTGCAGTGTTGACACCTCCCCCATTTAAAAAAAAATTCCCACCATGTTCTTCCCCAGTGCAGATTTTCCCATTCTGAGCTCAAGCCCAACCTCCTCAATAAAGTTTTCCTTTTAATTAATAATTAGACTGCTTTATTTATTTTTTTGAAGGTACAGGGGTTTGAACTTAAGGCCTCACACTTGCTTGGCAGGCTTTCTACTACTTGAGCCACTCCACCAGCCCTTTTTAGTGATGAATTTTTTTGAGATAGGGTTTCTTGCACTATTTGCTCTGGCTGGTCTTAAACTGTGACCCTCCTAATCTCTGCCTCCTGAGTAGCTAGGATTTCAGCTACTTACCCTACCTGACTTCTTCAAGTGACTGGACCACTAATTGTCTGTACATTATAGTTTGTTAATGTTATTCTATCTTATTCATTTTGTACCTGTTAGTCTTACTTCCAGAATCTAAGTAGGTCAATTGGTTTGTTTTATTCTGCAGTTTTCTTAAAGATTAGAAATTGTTCAAAATATGGGCATCAAAAAATTAGAGTTCAGGGGTCTAATTTCATAGTTATCTCTCTTCAGATTATTTACATATCAAGAAATTATCTTCAATATTTATTTATTTTAGTTATCTTAAGAATGTAACATGGATATTTTGCTGTTGGTAGAGTTGCTTTCCATTTCTGTGAATTGGATTTCTTGCATTTAGAAACTCTGAGTGTGAGTTTGTGAGTGTGTGTGTGTGTGTGTGTGTGTGTGTAGTTACATAGGTATGGACCCATAGTAAAAATGTCCCCTTGCATATTCTCTTTTTTGTTACTCTATGAAAAGTTATGATCATATTGCCACTTTAACATTTTCTTCGTTAGAAAAACAATAGCAAATACCTATGAAAAATCTTTGAGTGTCAGGTACCAGTAGCTCATGCCTGTAATCCAGCTACTCAGCAGGCAGAGGTCAGGAGGATCTCAGTTTGAAGCCAGCCCAGGCAACAAAAGTGGACCCTCACTTGAAATTACCCAATACATAAAAGGGTGGTGGAGTGGCTCAAATGGTAGAGCACTTGCCTAGCAAGTGTGAGGCCTGAGTTCAAGTCCCAGTGCCACCAAAAAAAAAAAAAAAGACATCTGTGAGTAACTAGGGAGGTGAGGGCAGGAGGTTAGCCTGGGCTTCATAGCAAGACCCTGTCTCAAAACAATGACAACAAACCTTTGAGGAATATTCTCTTTCTGGCATCTTTACCCACAGTGTATTCACTCTACAGAACCTCTATTAAAATGGCATTTGACTTTACTTAAAATGACATTTTTATTTATTACATAAATCATGAAAGCTCATTGTAGAAAATTAGAAAAAAATTATAAAAATAATTTACCCTTAAAAAGTGAGATAATCACTATTAACAACTTTCTGTTTATATGTATAGGAAAATATATATATATATACACACATATTTTTAAAAGTGAGATTATACTTTGTGTGCAATTTTATAACCTATACTTTTCTTTCCTTAATATATTTTAAATATTGATTCATGTCAATGTTAATGGCTGCATACTATTCCACCAAAATGTCACCTTCAGAAGATGAGATTTATCAAGAAACTTTAATAATATCTTTATCATAAAACATTTTTAAATATTTTAGCCCTTTCCTCGACGGCATAGTTCTGGTAAAGAATCAACAGTAAATATATCTGAGATGTTCAGCTCGTTGGCTTGGATTGCAATAAGAGCAGCTGCACAGGTTGGTGTGATTTTTGTTACTCTCTCTCCTGTCACAACTGTATTTCCTACTAATCAGCTGTGAAGGCAGCACAATGTGTCCAGATAAGAGAAAGGGAAAGTTCCCACTCTTTGGGATTTGTGTCAATCATATTTGGAAATATTAGAAATAGTCTGTATGTACAGTGTTTTTAATCACTACTAACCAGCTCTGACTCTGTTTTTTTCAATTTGTCTTTAATGAAAATACTGGTGAAGACATATGTATACATACTTGATATTTTGGTAAGTATCTGTCATAGCCAGGTGAGGTAGTTTATTTAAAGTGACTTATGCATTAATTAAATTGTCAAAACTAAATGATTTGTTTGACTATGATACAGTCTACATGTCAGGATCATATATTACTTTTTCAGGCTGTCATGATTTTTTCTTCTAATGTATATTGAATATTATTTTATGAGCTCACATATTCATATTGTTTGCTGCCTCAGTCTGTTTTGTGCTCTACGACAGAACAGCACAGAGTGAGTAATTTACAATAAATTGAAATTTATTGATGCACAGTTCTGGAGGCTGGGGAGTCCAAGACAAGTGGCCTGAATCTGGTAAGAGGTAGAAAGGTAGAAGAGAAAGAGAGAGAGAGAGAGAGAGAGAGAAATGGTATTGATTTGTCTGTCCCAGGACCTGTTTCCATGATTCCTGCATTAATCCATTCATGTCCTGGTCACCTGTTGGGGATCCAGTCTCCAACACATGAAATCTGGGGACATGTCCAAGCCACAGCCTTTCCTTGAAGGATAATCTCTGAATCAGAAAGCTTACACAAGTGAATTCTAATTCACGCATTCATTGTAGGTCAGTGAGGTTGTGCTGGCAATTAACCTGCTTATTGGAAAGAAGAGTACGAGAACTGATGAAGTTAACCAAGCAGCCTTACCGAACATTCCAGAATTTGCCACTGTGGATCTTTTGTCTTCATACACAGATTATTTGCTTGGTAGGCTTCAATGTCCATGTGTTTTACAGAAACCTGGCATAGGTAATGTGTAATCCAGCATTAAAGACTTACTAATGGTGATTTGTTGGCTTTTAGCTTAAAGAGAATAATGGTTTGGGAAGACTCCAGGGGACAAAAGGGGCCCTAGGGTCAGGTGCCAAAATAGAAGGTCTCAGCTCACTGCACAGGGGCGCAGCACTCAGTGGCATGTGTGTTTCAGATGCCGGGCTCTGTGGGAATGACACGCCCTTGTGTTTGTTTATTTCACAGTTCATACAGGTCATGTAGGACCTTCGGGGAATATTGCCTGACAGACCTCTGATCTCTCCTAAACGTGCACCCACTCTCTGTCACTCTCGTGTGGCTCCCTGTTGTTTATTGGCTATCTTGTCCGGTCTGTGTGTTTGAGTGTGTGCTAAGCGCTTTCCTCCGGTGTCCTGGGACGGGAGCTCTGTCCACTGAGGCTCCATCTGCAGCAAGGCACCCAGTTGCTTGCCCACAGCAGGCATCAAGTATTAATATTTGTTCAGTGGATTCATGAGGGAGAGGCTAGCGAACTTAAACTTGGCCTGAATACTATGTGTGCTTTTGCTTAATTATGATTCCCATTAGTAAAGTGATCAGCAGTGATATATGCATTTAACGTTGTTTATATGTCTGTCCATTCGTTTGGTCAGAAATATTTATTGAGTGTTGCTTGTGTGTGAAGCACCTGGGAAGGTGGTAAGAAGCAAGGTGCTGGAGTCTGACATGCAGACTAACATTTCAGTGACATTGATGTCTGAGTTTGTTTGGTCTGAGCTGAGCACTGAGCCAAAGGAGATGAAAAAAATTTCCCCCTAACCTGATGGCACGGCAGTGATCTTCCCAAGCGCGCCCCCCCACCCCAACACCTCCGAAGGCAGCAGTTTACCCAGCTGAAGGGTAGACCTTCACGGAACTGTTAGCATCTGAAATTGTGCCTTTCTAAGCTCTTTCCTGCAGAGTAAGATACCCAGCACTTAAAAATATTTTGCTTGAAGTCAAATCATTGGATAGACTTTATATTGTGGTGTTTGTTTTCTGACTTCTGTTTCCTTCATGCCTGGGAGAATTTTGCTTTATCAGGTTTCCAAGCCATGGCCTGAATCTCAGACTAGATGCTTGCTCTTCCCTGGAGTCCCATAGATGGCGTCACTGGTATGACATGGGCCCGGCAGGGGGCAGTCTGGCAGCCCAGCAGCCAGAGGGAGCTGATCACCATTTCCTTTGCCTGGCACTCACTGGCAACTCCATTCTCCCTGGGTCAAATGCATCTCTTAGCACCACACCTTATAGTTTTGTTAGAAAAAGGAGCACAGTGTACAATAATCAGGAGACCTCAATTGGATTCCTTGTTCTGTCAAACCATTTAATTTCCACAACCTCATTGTCCTAATCTGTAGACTGAGAGATTTAGTCAAAAATCTAAAAATTTAAGACCAACTCAAACTTCTAGCACGGCTCTTCTTCATAATGACTCCTTATTAATCCTGGCAAATGTGTCGCTTTATCCTACTCATTTTCTTGTGCTCTTCCTGTTGTTAGAACAGGAACAACAAATTTCATCTAAGATGGGCCCTAAACAGCAAGAATTTATTCTACTCATCTCACATGCTCTGCTTCAGGCTGAGGCTGGGCTCAGATGCATGTTTGTTGTGAGGCCCAGGCTGAAGAGGACTATGCTCTTCTCATGGAGGATACCAGGGCAAAAGCACAGTGAACCAAGTCACACAGGCACGTTTAAGGACTCTCTTTGCATCCCACCCCATCGTTCACATCATAGCAAGCCACCACTGCCACGGCCAACATGAGTGAGACAGGGAAACACAGTCTTCTTGTGGAGGGCGGGAGAGGGGGTGAAAGTTTGCTGAACGATAATCCAAACCATCACACATAACAAGCTTAATGTGTGGCTAGTGGCTACCTGAGAAAAATTCTGAAGTTGTGAGTAGAAAGACAATTGGCTCAATGATGTCAGTCATGGGTATACAGTGGAGAATGGCAGCCCTAGAAACACGTGATATTTGTCGATCTTCAAGACCTTAGTTTCACACTAAAACAGTCTTTCTTGTTCCTTTTCAGTGGCTTTCCTACCATGTTTCAAATTTTCATTCTCCATTTTATCTCTTTAGCACTTCTTTACTATTTTAACTATGAAATTATTGACTTTTAAAGTCCACTATTTTGCATTTTGCCTCACCTAAAGAATAATAATTTTGCCCTCCAGTCTTTCCCTGGCAGGTGGATAATTAATACATGTTGACGACTTCCCTCACTTCAGTATTGGGATTGGAAGGCGGTTCTGAATTCCCGCCTGACTGCCACAAATACACAGATGGCAATGAAGTTTGTATTATAATGAATTGCTAAAGGGAAAAAAATCTCTTAACAACAACAAATAAAACTGGTTTGATTTTTGTTGCATTAGCATAAATTAGCATCCAGAAGAAAACCTCCTCACTAATCTAGCTTTAAACAACATTAACATTGATCTATACATGAGGTGGTGAATGATATTCATTGTTATCGTATGCAAAGCCTTTACCAGGTCCTTTCTTCTTTCCTCCCTCCCTCCCTTCCTCCCTCCACCCATCCCTCCCTCCCTTCCTTGCTTCCGTTGCTGGAGAAGGAACCAAGGACCTTGTGTATGCTAAGCATGTGCTTTACCACTGAGCTACGCCCCAGTCCTGTGCTAAATGCTTCTGTCCAAAGGGAAAATCAGAGAACACAACAGAGAAGCAGGTCTTGCCTTCTATGAGCATCTTGTCATGGAAAATCAGGACAAGCACATGCACTGAAATGATGTAAATTTATCTTTTGTGAGGGCAACGTTAATGGAGGGAGGATTAATATGTCTGAAGCTAAATCACTGCCTTCTGAAGGGAGCTGGACTCATGCATGATGGCAGAAGAGTTCATTAGGAGCAATTTTTTTTTCTGGGGGAAGCATATTGTAGGCAGATGTAAATTGTCTCAGAGATATAGGGTACCAGACAGGAGGAGGAAGTAGAAATTCGTGACCAGAAACATGATGACAGAGTAGCTATGTGTGGAGGATGGACTGTAGACCACCTTGCCAGGCCTGAGAGCAATCAGTGACACCTGCAGAACAATAAGATTACGGTCTGATTTACTGAGACATTCTATTCAGAGATCTTGAAAGGATGGCACTGGCAATGTGGGGCCATATTTAGATTCAATTTAGAAATATTTAGTAGATGCCTACTTTGTAGTAGTGCTCAAATATATGTAATTTTTGTCTTGAGTTTCTTGTGGCCTTAAGAATTCAGCTGGGATAAAAATGATTAAATTTTGCAAGACTCATTGAATTGAAAGTAATAGTTAGGATTAGCAGTCCCAGATGCAGCCTCTCACAAGTAAATAAATACATATCATATATAGAAAAATAAAATTAATGTTGGTGAATTTACTATCAGAATACAAACAGATCTATGGAGAACTTAGAATCTCTGTTGACCCTTAGTATATGTTTTGCCTCCTGAAACAGAGCAAATCTTTTAGCTTGAAAAAATTATGACTTATCCTCCACTGTTCCCATCTTGTCCCTGGTTCAGAGATATTGGCTCAATAGCAAAAATGCTGATGCTGTTCCTCTACTGCTGTCTTCTGTTCTCCATTCCTTCAAGACACAATTCTGCACAGTGGCAAGAAACTGGAGTGATACATTCCACACTCAGATCCTAACCAGTTACACCACTTTTGCATGGGACGGAGAGAAATGACCTGTGCTAGCAATGGTGGCAGTGGTGGTAGTGGTGAGTGTTAGTCTGTGTGTACTGTATCAGTTCAGAGTATTATAAGTGAGACCAGCAAGGTAAGATGAGAACCAACCTCAGTGAAGCAAAGCTATCCAGCAGTCCAGAAATTCCACTCAGACATAGCCACATTGATCTCTTAAATCAGAGAAGGGACAGTCCCATGGCCAATGGCAGAGCACACTATCAATTGTCAGGCACTAAGTGTAAAGTTCTTCATTCTAGACGGAATCAACAATGCAAAATAAGAAACAGCAGACGGCCTATGTGAGTAAACCTTCCCAGATAAGCACAATGGAATGCTACCCTGAAGATGGAGTGAAGATGTGCCTTTCAAATAATCAGTGGAGACTTAATAGGATTGTTTGGTACCCTTAATAGGGCCACAGCAGTCAGAGTGTCAGTGGCAGAAAGCCAGAATGCAGGATGTGCCAGCCAGATGATGTGGATGAGTAACACCTTGTGCTGGTGTTTTTTTACTTGATTTTACTTATCCTGTAGGAAAATCCTGTGAGACTGTCATTATGCACATTTATAAGTGAGGCAAGGTGCTCAGAGAGGTTATATAACTTGAGTACAATTCCACTGCTGATTCAAACCCTCATCTATCCAATTCTAAAGGCTGTGCTCTTAATTGTTATGTTGGGTGTGATAAGAAAATATTGCCAGGAACACAAAATGCAGAATTAATGCTTCTGGTCAACCCACTGGACAGAGTGATATGAAAGATGCTTCTGCCCTTCCCTTCTTCAAGCACACAGCAATGCTCAATAGATAAAATACAAATGACTTAATTTGTAGCTGAGCTTGAAACCAGGCAAGGGAAATCCCAAGTTACCAAAGTAAAATGGGGCAAACCTGAGCCCTCACTAAGGAAGTATTAGAATTTGGGGTTAGTCAGAACCTGGCTAAGTACATAAGATTGGGGTTGACAGTGGGCTCATCCATGAGTGGGAATAGAGGAGGTGCAGGGAAGCATGTCTGCCATCAGGATAAAAGGATAGTTACTTGAGAGATGTTGGAAACCCACCTTAGGTTGTAAGGTTGGAATTCACAGCACTTGAATGATGGATCAGAACTATAGAAATCCAGGCAGCTCTGGTTGGGGCTTATAGGAAATGATGATGAAGGGATGCCCATTGTGTGGGGCACAGGGGATTATCCTCCACCCTCCCCAATTCTTCTGAAGGTGATGATAGCACAG